GCCTGGAACTAACTGTTGTAGCTCAGGCTGGCCTCAAGTTCTGCCTGCCTCTGCCTCCCAAGTGCTGGGATTAAAGGCATTCACCATCACCACCCGGCTCTGGAAGGCAGGATCTTAAGATCATTTAAACATAAGACTCCCACTTAGAAAGACCCACCTTCTTCCTGGTATCCAAAAGCCAGTGAGAGGATTTTTACTGGTTGTAGTATAAGTCCCATAACACTTTAAAGAAAGGAAGACCTTTAACTCCAGCCTAGAGGGGAAGATGGGAAATCCAGACACAGGAAGCTGGACACAGTCCTAAAATGAAGACAGAGGAGGGTTCTAGAGAACAAGTCCTTAGGCCAGACGCCATCAATGAACTGAATGAAACCTTCCCTGAGTCCGCCCAAGGTGAATGCTCAGCAAGCTGACACCTACACTTCCTCCAGTAAGCTTGAGCAGAGAACCCAGGCTTTCTGACAGGCCTTTGGTTCATGGGAGCAGAGAAGGCAAATCTGTTGTTTTAAAGTCACTTTGCTCACGACAGTGTGCCACGCGTTAGAGTTCCGAGCCACTGGTCTCGAGTGCCCATCCTAGCTGCTGTGCCTATGGACTATATGTGTCCCCGTGGGACATTGTTCCTGCTCTACTGGAGCAGTGTGAGAACTGGACCTGGCTCTGGAGTGAAAAGATTCTGGGTCCCAGCCTCCTGGGGCCTCTGGCGTCTTACCCAGGTGTCTTAGTGGTGGTCACCCAGATATGTGACATTAAAGTTGGATCATCTTGTTAAAGCTGCCTGACAGGTTTCCCCACTGTGAAGGTGTCCTATCTATCATACTGATGGAATGAAAGGCAGCCTGTCTATTCTATTCCATGTCTGGCAACCCTACAAGACACACAGCCACATTCAAGAATCGGCGACTCCATGAGACCACCGCCCTACACAGCTCAAGACATTCCAGATGTCTGTTCCAGAACATCTGGCAAACCAAATATTCTACCCAAACAGCAGTCACAACTCCACTTAATACTTTTTTCTTTTCTTTTTTTTTTTAAACGTTTTGAATTACGTTTCATATAATCCCAGGCTGGATGTTAACTTACAATGTATCCAAGAACAACCTGAAATCTCTAGTCCTCCTGCTCCACTTCTCAAGTACCTCGACACAGAGGACCCCTGTGGGGGTGGGTTGGTGGTGCAGTGGGAGGAGGCACTCAGGGACCTCGGTATGAGATAACTGTACTTCACCTGTGGGACGTAGGGGAAGACAAGGCAGGAAGAATGGCACCCTAACCAGAACCTGTGAATGCTATCTTAGTTGCAAAATGGATTTTTTTTCTAACTTTAAAATAAAAAACAAAAAAATTATATAAGCTTAGGCCAGCCTCTAAGCCACTGAGTTGCTGAGGGTGGCCTTGAACTTCTGATCCTCCGGTCTCCACCTCCTATATACACCACCATTATCAGTGTAATGTAATGCTAGAAACCTGGGCTTCATGCACAATAGACAAGTACCTGTCAAGTGAGCCTCATTCCTAGCCTCAGGGGTGATTCTTGCAATGAACTGGGCCAGCATGCATGCAGGAGACACAAGGTAAGCTGTGCAGGAAGCAACGGGGGTCTCCCGCTCATTGTCTCCAGCAGGCACTAGTGCTTGGTGACAAAGGCCAATGAAGCAAACATCTTCTGGAGGAACCTGCTCAGACTGCTTGGATTCTAAAAACAACCTAGCAGAGGACTCATTCACCCTTCCTGACCCCAATCATCCTTCTCTACAGAGGTCAGCAATAAGCCCAGAGGACTGGGGATGTGGTTCAGAGGTAGGGCACTCATCCAGCACACGTGAGGCTGTAGGCCTCATCCCCAGCACAAAATAATAGTGATAAGTTTATCTGATTTAATTTGTATTTTACTTATTATTGTGTGTGTATATGGGGGCAACCCCGGCCACTGCCCTTCTACGGAGGTTGGAGGACAACCTTCAGGAGTAGCTCCTCCTTCCACCGCTCTGTGGTTCTTGAAATGAACTCAGGTCAGTAGGTTTACCCAGCAGGCTATTTTACCTCTCAGCCATCTCTTTGGCCCCATAACAATGTTAATAATAGTATTTCAAAACTGCTTATAAAGGGATAGGCCTCGTGGCTCAGACCTTTAACCCCAGATTTTCAGCTGCCTGAGAAAGTTAGAGAGACCCTGTCTGAAAACAAACGGTACAGAGGGGCTGAGGTAGTGTAGCACTATGACTGAGGGCTTGCTTACAGCTAGAGGTGGTGGTGCACGCCTTTAATCCCAGGGCTCCACAGGCAGAGATGGGCGGATCTCTGTGAGTTCCAGGCCATTTGGAGCTACATTGTGAGACCTTGTCTCAATGACAATAACAATAACAGTAAAAATCATAGTTCATGAAAATAATAAGTGTTGGACATGGTGCAGTTGAGAGATATAGGCAGGACAATCTTTGCAAGTTGGTGGACAACCTGGGCTACATCAGGTCAGCTTCTACATAGCAATCCCGTCCCAAGAAACCTAAATAGATAAATAAGGCTCAGAGAAATGAAGTGACTCATTCAAGGTGACCCACTTAATATAAGAAGCTAGAGTTGAATGTCAAGTTCCTCAGAACCCATCTGGTGGCCAAACCACCCCCACCTCTACCCCCACCCCCACCTCAGTCTGGCCACAACGGGCAAAACTCCCAGGGTGGACGACTGTGAAACTTCTTGTGGCCCTGTTTGTTCCTTTGCTTCATTTTGTGGCTTTTCATTCTTGTCTCTGGCCCTCATCCCATTCCTGATGGCTCAGACAGGTCCAGGACCAACCAGCAGGGGGTGCTATAATCCACTCCAGAACCGTCCTGAGGCACTAACAGTGCAGAATGAAGGGGCTGGCTCCCACGAGTGTCCCTAACAATACCGACACCTACTAGTTCACGACTTGCCCTGTGGCCTGCTGACCAGATGAGCTGCAACACAGGGTTTTGCTCCTCATGGTGGTGGAAAGGGAATACACCCCCCAAGTAAATGAAGTTCAGTACAAACCTTGATACCAAGTACACAATTGAACTTTATCAAGGGGATCATGGCTCCAGATTCCTCCCCCACATTGGTGGTTGCTCTTTGCAGCCACCTTTTTATAGTCCAGATCTTTCCTTTCCGTGGAGCATTTGCCTGCCTTTCAGCAACACCTCAGACTACTGCAAGGGCTTCGCGAGGCCCCAAAGGGCAGCACAGAAGTGCATACTTATGATCCCAGAACCTCTAAAAGTTCAAGGCTAGGTTGGCCTACAGAGTGTCTTAAAAAAAAAAAAAGAAAGGGAATGTGGCGGCGGGGGTGGGGGCGGGTGGGTGGGGGATGGGTGGACAAAAAGCAGTGCTGGAGACACAGCTCAGTCGGTAGAGTGTCTACCATGCATAAACTCCGTGTTAAGATCCAGCACTGTATGAAGCAGGCATGGTAGCACAACCCCCATCCTACACACAGGAGGGGAAGGCAGGAGGTTCACCAGGTCACCCAGGACAGCATGAGTAATGAGAAATGAACAAGGGCCAGTGAGATGGCTCAGTGGCTAAGGCATTTGCTGTAGGAGTCTAGTGAGCTCAGTTCCATCCTCAGGACCCACAGTGGGGAGAGTGGAGTCCGGAGAGAGGTCCTCCACACAGTGTCATGGATGCATATGGGCACCGTCAAGTGAATCTTAAAAATCACAAAATACAAAGAAACCCCAATAACAACAAAAAACGCATACTCAGGCCAGCAAGATGGCTCTGAGGGTAAAGGTGCTTGTCACCAAGCCTAATGGCCTGAGTTTGAACCTGTATTCCACTTGGTAGAAATCAAAAATCAATCCAAGCCAGGCAACGGTGTCGTACACTTTTAATCCCAGCACTTGGGAGGCAGAGGCAGGTAGATCTCTGTGAGTTCGAGGCCAGCCTGGTCTACAAAGCGAGTTTCAGAACAGTCAGGACTGTTACACAGAGAAATCCTGTCTCGAAAAATCAAAAAAACAAAAACAAAAAACAAAAACAAAAAAACTAACTCCCAGAATTTATCCTCTTATCTCCACACCCATGTCAAGGCAATGTGCACCTATACAATACAAACAACATAAATGAGTAAGCAAATAAATAAATGAGTAAACAATTTTTTTTAATCCTCAAATGCCATACATAGTTCACAATCACGGTGCTTTTGCTTGTGTCTCCTGTCTTCAACCTGAAACTCGGCCGTTGCTAGCACTTACTGAGTATCTACGTGTGCTGTGCGAGTCCCTGGGGGACAGATGTACCAATCAAGAATTTAAAACAACTCAGAAGGGGGAGCTAACTCCAGCTACCTCCCAAGGACCTACTAGCAGCACCTGTTGAAGCAAGGATTGCCTCCACTTTGAAGGCCAACCTTCAAACCCAAGATCAAGCAAAAAACAGTAGAACCAGGACCCCACAGTGTGACGGTATTTCAGTTCCCTAATCCCAAGAAGGGAGGAACCCCAGGATGATGTCTTTATACACAGACTCAAAGCTATTACGTGCTTGATATAGGTCACTGTGACTAAATATGGCTGAAGATGCATCTACTCTTTCCCCCACCCTGTTTTGTTTTGTTTTGAAGACAGTTTCTCAGGAAGCCCAGGCTGGTGACTTTGAACTTCTGATCCTCTATCTCCTTAGTGCTGAGATTATATAGGATTACAATGCCTAGGTTTTTGGAGTGCTGGGAATAAAACCCAGGGCTTCGTTGATGCTAAGCAAGGACTCCACCACTGATCTACAGCTCCGGGAGACCCTCCCCCTCTTTAGGTAGAGTCTTGCTATGTCAACAAAAGGTCTGGAACTTGCAGACCAGAGTAGCCTTTACCTCCAGAATACCAGGATTACAGTGTGTACCACTACACCCAGGTTCCCTCTCATCCTTGCAAGAGGTAGCTAGCTGATTGGGAAGTGTGGACCAACTGCCCACCACCAACTCTAGCTGGGCAGACAACTCAGAGCTGATCCCTGACTTTTCACAGCTCTTCTAGTTTCTTTTTCTTCTTAATCATTAAATCATACACAAGCCAGCGAAAACACAAGACACACCCCTATCTCGCATGTTAGATTCTTTCCCCCTCCTGCAGAATTTTGCGGTAAAACTTCAGCTTTACAAGAACATGCAACAGAAAGAATTAGGGAACTCAGGCAATCCAAAACCAGCTAAGTGATGGTTTCGCATTTTTAAAATATATATAATGTAAAGCAGTTCCGAGAAAAGTGAAGTCACAGCCTAGGTTGCTTATTCTCAGTTCTTAGAAAAGAGCATTTCAAAAGGGAAGCTGCGCTGGGCGGGCACACAGGCTGCCGCCAGAGCCACGGTCTGGCGGGTGCTTGCTGATAAACTGACTTTGATTTGGCAGCCCAAGAGCTGAAGCCTCCGGATGCATTTTCATTTGGCGCTGTCAGAGAGGAAACGGCAGCCCCGACAGTGAGAGTTCTGAATGTGCAGAGAAACCACAGGCTCAGCTCTGGGAAGGCAGCCTCCAGCCGCTGGCCACTGCCGTTTGCAGCGCTCCTCCCCCAACTGGCGGCGACCTCCAGCCAGCCCACACTTTTCCATCCATCGGGTGTTATTCCCCAGGAGTTAGGTGAGGACACAGTTGCAAAGCTGTCAGCAGCTTCCAGTTCTCCAGTGGAGACGCAGAGGAGGCTTGTGCACACACAGTTCAACAGTTGTTCTAGGGTAAAACAGTTTAGGGACACCATTTTACTAAGAATCCTATAACAGAAATCCTGTGGCCTGCATCAAATTCAATTTCAGACTGGGGTTCAAGAGGCAGAGTGTTTGCCTAGCACACAGGAATCAGGCCTGGAGTGGTACGCACTTGCAAATCCAGCACTGTGAATTACCTGCAGGTGGTCAGGGCTTCAAGATCATGTTCAGCCGTGGAGTTTGAGGCCAGTCTGGAATATGAGACTCTGTCTGAAAGTTAATTGGGGCTATAGCTGTGCAGTAGAGTCTGTCCAGCATGGGCTCTGTGCTGAAAAAAGTGTGTGTGTGTGTGTGTGTGTAGTCTGTGTCTCTGTGTGTAGTCTGTGTCTCTGTGTGTGT